CACACATCTAAAACTGACCCACTGTTTCAATCTTATTATTATCACGAAGTCATTTCACTTCTGCTAACAACAGACGGGAGAAAGAGGCGGCTCGGAGCTTTCGAATACTCGTTGCTCTTACAGAGTGGCCAAGTTTAGTTCTGAGCACTCACAGGTGGCTCCCAGTCAGGAGCTCTAGGGAGGGACCTCACACTCCCTTGGGGCCTCTACAGTCACTAAGCACTCACATCATACATACACGTATATGAAAGCAAACATTATACACATAAAATGTAAATAAATCATTTAGAAGTCAGACTTTCTTGTAGAGACTTCAGAATACTGTATTTAAAGGAAACACGATGTCATTTTGTGATGGACCATCCCATGCCTCAACAACTCTTTCACCATTTTCCATTATACGAACATTGAAAAATCTGAACTTCAAGAATCCTCAGGAAATCAGAAGAATCATGTCAATATAGAAAATCCATAACCAAAGACATAAGCCAACACCTACCTTCTGCAAATAAGGTTTCTAGGGTCCCAAACTATTAAGTGGTATTACGGGCTGAAATGTGCCCTTCCCCAACAACAACAACAACAAAACTGCATGCTGAAGTCATAACTCCAATATGTAGCTGGCTGTGAGTCTGTAGGGAGGTAACTACAGTAAAATAAGATCGTCAGGGTAACCTCTAATTCAGTATGACCAGTGTGTCCTTAGAGAAAGAAGACATGTGTATGCAGACAGGCACAGACTTAAAACCTAGAGACACAGGGACAAGACGCCTGTCTAGGAGCCAGGGAAAAATCTTAGGACAGATCATCTCTCTCAGCTTGCAGAAAGGGTGTCATGGTATCGTGGCTTTGGCCTTCCAGCCTCCAAAACTATAAGGCGATATCTACTCCTATGTAATGCACCATCTAAGCCTGACAGTTCTGTGATGAAAGACAAAGAAACAGTGAAACAGTCAACACCCAGAATTCCAGACTCCAAAAGCCACTCTCTATAGATTACCCCGACTAACAGTCAATCTCTCATTTGCACCAAAAATTCTTGGCCTCAAAAACATTGAACTACTGAAAGTTCTTGACCTCAAAAACATTGAACTTACTTTTACTTCTGCTCTTGTTCTTCCTCTGCCCTCGACTGCTGCCCTTCTGCACCGCAGGTGCCACGGCCATGCTTTTTACACTTTCTATCTTCCAGAATATCGACTCAAATAAATCTCTGCTTTAAATTTAATTAAATAAAACTAAAGATTTTATGATTGTAAGGGTCTTAATGATTGTAAGGGTCTTACTAAATGTGTTGTTTATATTCAATTGCTGGGAGCTTCATGCCCACACCATTAGAACTCAACATGTACAAACTAAATCCTCCAATGGCACAAGACCCCCTACTGCCACGTGACCAGCCACTGAGACCACCTCATGGAAACCATCCCCACTCCCGGCACTAAGAAAAGTCACTGAATCTCTACCCCTGCTCAGTCTCTGTGCCAGTCCAGACAGCATCTTCTCCATCCAGACTCCACAGTTTATCATCGGATTTCTGCCTCTAGGTCCAGCCGACATCTTAGGACACTTCACTAGTGGAGAACCTTTCTGGGAATTCACGATACTTCAGAAATGATTTGGCATTTATATGGCATGGCGTGTTATTCTTTGATGTATTATTTCAATCTTCTGCCTGCCACCTGGATGACAGATTCCACAGGAGTACCATCTGTATCGAATATTCCATCTTATTTACTGACTCTAACTTAATGATGCTCTGTAAGCCACTCAATAGCTGTTGCAGGGCGGGTGTCAAACAAGGTCACTAACCTCATTAAAATTCTATCTCCCACAGTTCACATTCCAGTAAGAACGGTAATGGGAACGAACAGGATTATCGGCATGGTGAGCTGCATAAAGGTGGGTAAGGTAATAGCTAGCTGCAACTGGTAGACAGGATGGTTATAGAAAATTTCTCTTGAGAAGAGAACATACGAGTTTGTAGTTGGTACCTAAACTGGTCAATGAAGAGTATTCTAGATAGAGGAAGAGTGTATGTGAGGGCCCTAAGACAATACAGGTTTATAAAGGGATTAATTAAACATGGCTTACATAATTAGATTATAGTAGTTTCAAAGTAAAGAAGAAACAATAGGATGACAAAGAAGGGGAGAGTGTAATGCAAAAGTTCCTGCAACAATCCAAGGAATCCTGCGATACAGTGAGGAGATTCAGCTGTGGACAGATGTGAGCTACCTTTAGAGATGGACCCAACAGAACCACATTTGGTTAATTCGCTGGACATGACCTTTACTCATGTATAGAGAATACTGCATGGGACGTGATGGACCAGAATTATGTTTGGATATAAGGTTTTAGGTTATTTGTTATAACAGTCGTACTTGGTGGTGATATCTTATTCTTTTTAGAGGTTGTTGAATTCAAGGGAAAATTCCAAGTAGGCAGACAGATCTATGAAGTGGACACAAAGACAAGGTCTTAACTAAATAAATACATGTGTGGAAGTCAACAGCTTATGCCTGCTATTTAAATTTAGGGAATGAATGAAATTATCCAGGAATGGGTGCTTACTAGAGAAAAGCAGGCTTTTTTTTTTTTTTTTCCTCTTCTTAGGTTCTGCAAACAGAAAAGGCAAGACAAAGCAAAGAGAAAAACTGACCCTGCCTGGAGTCTGCCGTTGCAGGAAAGATTGTTTCAACCGTGTGCAATCTACTAAAAGGTTAGGGAGAAGAACCAGAAGACGGAAGGCTTGGTATATAATACAGAGACAATGGATACATTTTCTAAGATGTCTCAGCTAACCGGTAACCAAGCAAGCCAACTGCAAGGAAGTGAAAGGAAGAATGAGATGAGAAAATACAACAAGCGCATACCGGCTAGTTTTCTGAAAACCTGGCACAGGCCAGAGTCATTTTGGGAGAGGGAGCCTCAACTGAGAAAATGCCCTACTGGACTGGACTCTAGCCTAGCCTGTGGAACATTGAAGACTGGAGTGGAAGGGCCCAGAACATTGGAGGTGGTATCACCCCTGGGCAGATGGTCGTGGGGTGTAAAAGATATCAAATAAGCCGGCCATAAGGACGAATAAGCAGCATCAGCTCCTGCCTCCACATTTCTGCCCTCTTTGAGTTTCTTGCCTAACCTCCTTGAATGCTGAACTGCAATATGGAAGTGTAATAAAACGTCCTTTCCTCCCCAAATTTATCTTTGGTCATGATGTTGTATCACAGCAATAAAAACTATATTGGGGCAAAGAGGAAGACTAGAAAGAGGAAAAGAAGGAAGAAGCATATCAACATTATCATCATCAAATGACAAACCAGGCAATGACAGAGTGTACTCAATTTGTCAAAAACTAGGTGGCAAAACACTGATACATCATTTGGATCAGCAGAAGATGTAGCTTTGGTCCCTCTGATGGGAGAATGAACTAAGGACTTAGGTAAAGAGAATTTGCATTTTTAAAATATGTAGAAGTGAAGCTACTAACCCTAATATTTATGACAGAACTGAAAATTCACATGAGTAAGATGACTCTCATCAATAGCAGAAACCCTCTTATGCATAAATGAAAAAGACAAAAGACAGTTCAACCTTATTTAATAAAACTAAAGCCTTATACATAGAATCTGCTGCATTATGAGAGAACTTTTTAAAAATAGCAATGGGAAAAATATTGCAACATACATAATACTAAAGGAATGAGACAAGCAATGCAAACTAAAGGATAAGAACGATGGTGGTGTAGATTGAGGCCCACACCACAAAAGGGAGACCAAGCCTGACACTGCCTGCATGGACAGGAATCAGAAACTGGACAGTCCAGAGACCTACAAACAGAACCAAACACGACTCTCTCTTTCTCCCCCTCCTCTCTCTGTGTGTGCCTCTTTCTGTCTCTGTCTCTCTCTCACACACACAAGTCAATGAAATGATTACTTGTGATATTCTGCTATATTCATAGATTGCTGCCTAGCCCACTTGTCATCAGAGGGGCATCATCTAGCATCTGTTGGGAGCAAATGCAGAGACCCATAGTCAAACATGAGGCAGAGCTTAGGGAATCCCACAGAAGAGGGAGAGGAAAGACTGCAGGAGCCAGAGAAGTCAAGGACACCACGGAGAACAGTACCAACTAATCAGGACTCACACAAAGGCTCCTAGAGACTACAGTAACAATCAGAGAGACTGTGAGGGTCTACGATAGGTCCTCTGCATATATGTTATGGTTGTATGGCTTGGTGTTTTTGTGGGTCTCCTAGCAGTGGGAATGGGGATGTCTCTGACTCTTTCACCTGCTCTTGTGGCCTTTTCCTCCTTGTCCAGCCTTGATATGTGCCTAGTCTTAATGTCACTTGTTATTTATTCAGTGTTCAGCTGATATCTCTGGAAGGCCTCCTCTTTTCTAAAGGAAAACAGGGAGTGGATTGCGTCCAGGGGAGAGGGAATGAGGGGAAGAGTGGAGGAGTGGAGGGAGGGGAACCAAGATTGAAATGTAATATATAAGAGAAGAATTAAAACAACAGCAAAAGAAAGGAGGAAAGAAAGAAAACAAGGGACCCAAGAAAGAAGAAAGGCAAATGAGCAACAAGGTAAGGATAATCCTTCATTTTTAAGAATTTCCTTTAAAAATCATGAATCTATAATAATGTCACTCTGACATTTTAGCATTTTAGTATTTAATATTTAGTAGTGAGTTATTTAGTATTTTAGCAGTGCTGCAAACAGAATCAGACATAAAAATATTCTCCAGTTGCCTAGAGAGCCCACCATGAATTTTCCCCCCACAAATCTGAATATAAAAAGATGGTCTTGTCTTGTTTAATATGACTTGGTATGACTGCAGAAGGTAGTGAATGTTTTTAATTACAGTTTCCACAATCAAATAAGACACTCAGCAGCGTAACTAAATCTCAGCATGTCTGGAGAGAGTACCATACTCACCGTGCCATGAAAACCACATAAATAGAGAATCAGAGAGAGGACAGAGTGCCTACCTTCCCTGATGGCCGTGAACGGCGTCCCCTCTTCCTCCTGCAGTCTGATCACCTTTAGAGCCACCAGCTTCCCGTTTACCCTGAAGGAAACCAAAGATCAAATCAAAGTGACTCTATAGAACTATACGTCTATCGTGGCTCTAATTTAGCATCCTAAAAGTTCTATTCCATGCAATTCTGCATTGAGAATGTCAGTGACAAACTGATTTCAGCAAGCCTGGGAGTCCTAGAATACTGTAATTATTCACATGGTAAACACACTTGCAATACTGCCAAGGTTGAACCTGACATTTCTATGATTTAGTCTTTCCCTTCCCAGTGAAATTAGAGTTCAACAAAACCACTTGACAATGATTCTCAGTGTAATTAAAAGCAAAGCAGTGAAAGGAATATTTTCCTTTGTTTCTCAAACTGCATCTTCACTTAGATAGGATCCTTTAATCCCAAAGACAGAAACTTGACACACACATTCCCTTCACACACACACCACCCTCTGCCGCCCCTCTTTAACACACACACACTCTCTCTCTCTCTCTGATGCTCTCATCTTCCATAACATCTTTCCTATTTTTAAAATAAGAGCTTCTGAAAACTATAATTGATTCTGGTTGTATTTTATATTATGGCAGATCATCAAAAATGTGATGAATAGGGGGCTGGAGAGATGGCTCAACATTTAAGAATACTGACTGTTCTTCCAGAGGACCCAGGTTCATTTCCCAGCACCCACTGTCTGTAACCCTAGTCCCAGGGGATCTGACACCCTTACACAGACATACATGAAGACAAAACACCAATGCACACAAAAATAAAAATAAATAAATCTAAAAAATGAAGAATATACTATTACAAATTATAAAGACATACTCAAAGCAAATGGTTCTTTGAAACACATTCTGCATGTGTGTGTCAGCTCTAATCAAAGGTAACATTACATTGTGGAGACAGTTTTTATTCAGTCAGTTCTGCTACTATAACATCCAGGCATAACCGTATATTCTGATCCTCTTGATCGCCTTATTTTCTACTTTTACTGGACCTGCTGGAATACTTCATTTGGTGGCCTTGTTCGTTAAAATGTTTTAAAGGAGATACTAAACATAAAAAATAGAAAATATAATTAATAAAAAACCAACCACCAAACCAGGCAGTGGTGGCACACGCCTTTATTTTTTTTTTTTTAAATTTATTTATTTATTAAGGATTTCTGCCTCGTCCCCACAACCGCTTCCCATTTCCCTCCCCCTCCCCCGATCAATTCCCCCTCCCTCATCTGATCGAAGAGCAATCAGGGTTCCCTGACCTGTGGGAAGCCCACGCCTTTAATCCCAGCACTTGGGAGGCGGAGGCAGGCAGATCTCTGTGAGTCAAGGCCAGTCTGGTCTACAAGAGCTAATTCCAGGACAGGCTCCAAAGTAACACAGAGAAACCCTGTCTCAAAAAAACCAAAAAAGAAAGACAGAAGGGAAGGAAGGAAGAAGGAAGGAAGGAAGGAAGGAAGGAGAAAAAGAAAAAGAAAAAAGAAAAAAGAAAAGAAAAGAAAAGAAAAACTAACCATCCTGACATACTCTTCCCACCACCCAGGTCCCATCCTCTGGAGTCAACACTGAGTACTATTCCGACATACTCTCTGGTCTATAGCCCTTCCATATTTACATGTAAATTTTATATATACTTGTTTATGCTACATAAACTGACATATGTATATTTATATACATCTGCACGATACAGAAAACTACATACAGAAATGTTGGTATATGATACACATCCCATTGTAAAAGATAATATACTTAATTTCATACTATTCTTCAACTAATAATTATCTAGCTTATTCACAGCTTTCTGCTACTAGAGTGACATAATTATATCCTTGCATATTTTATCCATATTTTTTAGAATGTGAGTAACAAATTCCTAAGAAAAAAAGAGTTGCAAGGTCAAGCCATATGCAACTCTATTATTTTTAATGAAAACTCAAATTTTGTATATACCTTTCCTACAGCAACAATGACAATTCCTAGTCCTTCCCTCTGTCTCCTCTATGTTAGTAATATTTGGTTTGCTAATCTTATATGTCAACATAGTTTCTTATTATAATTATGATTGCTACCAGAAGTCTTCAGAGGAAACAAAATGGAGGGATCATGTGACCCAGAAAACCTGGGTCTGAATATGTCTGAGTCTGAAATGTGAATGCTAATGTCTTTCAAATAAATAAAAATTAAAAATCAAACTCTAACTTATTTTTGTTCAAAAAAGCTGCCCCAGAAGGGAAACTCAGAAGCCAAAGTCCTCATCACACTCCAACTGCCAGGTGGCATTTCTCCCTGAGCCCACTGACACCCCATCATTACTGGGGATGGCAACGGGAGGCGGACATCTTGTTCCAAGGCTCCACCATGTGCAGTCTTCTCCTGGGAGTCAGATTCAGGATGTGTTGCCTGTATCCCAGCTGGGAAGACATACCTCCGCTGCTGAGCGCATCACCTTGAGTTCTCTAAGCCTATTCGCTCTCTGGGTACCCAGGAGCAAGCATCCACAAATCCCTGCCCGTGCCCTTCTCAGCCTGTGATCCTCACTTTGTGTTTGAGAACTAAGGGAGCCTCTGGCAGGGACTGAGGCTGCGACTCAGAGTCGACATCTGCACAGCTTTCTCAGCCCAGCTGAGCTCATCAGTGGCCCCCACAGGAGGCTGTAACTGATTCCAGGAACGCCTTGGAATGTTCCCCGCGCTTACAGACATTTTCCTCTCACCCATAAAACACACGCAGCACCTTCTTTCCCCAAAGCTTTCCACTTCCCTTGAGAAGAATGAAACTGTATGTACCAGGAACTGAATTCTGGAGTATGGGATCTCATGCCTCTAAAGGTCATGCACTTCATGGCCCTGGGACCATGAACTATGACTAGTCCTTGGAAAAGCAATGGAGCCTTTCCTTGACTTAACACTTATTCCTGCGATGCATCTAAAGTCACTGTGGTGGTGTGCACAAGAATGCCCCCATGGGCTCCAATATTTGAATGCTTAGACACCAGGGAGTGGAACTATTTGAGAGGAGAAGCAGCATCAGGAGGTGTGGCCTTGGAGAAAGTGTGTCACTGGGAGTGGACTTTGAGGTTTCAAAAATCCATGTCAGTCCCAAGTGCTCTCTCTTGTTTGTTCCCTGTTCTCTTTTCTCTCTGTCTCTCTCTCTGTCTCTCTCTCTCTCTTTCTGTCTCTCTCTCTCTCTCTGTCTCTCTCTCTCTGTCTCTCTCTCTCTGTCTCTCTCTCTCTCTCTCTCTCTCTCTCTCTCTCTGTCTCTCTCTCCGCCTGTGGATGAGAATGTAACAATCAACTATTGCTCCAGTGCCACCATGCCCTCACTATGATGATAATAATAGACTCACTCTCTGAAACTGTTAAGTCCCCAGTTAAATGCTTTCTTTTATGAGTTCTTTGATCATAGCGTCTCTTCACAGCAACAGAACAGTGACCGAGACAGCCTGAGCACTCCCAAAGACCAATCTACATCAGTCCACGGTGATAAAAACATTTCCTTTGAACTTACTTTCTATAAACACAAGAGCCAGTTTCATGAAATTATGATTATGCAATTTCCATGAACTGAAACTCCAAGTGTTAAGGTGTCTATTTGTTTGTTTAAATGTTATTTTGTTTTATGTGCATGTGTTATGTGTTTCATCTGCATGTAAGTCTGTTCATCATGTCTGTGTCTGGTGCCTGAGGAGGCCAGAGACAGATGTCAAAGCCCTAGAATTGGAACTACAGATGGCTGTGAGCCACAATGAGTGCTGGGAATCCAACTGGGGCCTTCTGGAAGAACCTGTGCTCTTCGCTTATGAGCCCCTTCCAGACCTAAGTGTTAGGGGACTTTGTGGGCTATGATCATTTTAGTTGTTATGACACTGATATTTTAGATATCATATCATATGAAACTAAAAAATTTCTTTAAAGGTTATACATTAAAAGCTCCAGAAATAAGGAAAATGCTTCTTTCACTTCTGTGTGTCCACTATTCGGAACCTTACTGGCACTGCATACATTTTACATAATAAATATTGGTGCAGTTAATTCATGGATACTTTCTCCTTTATACTAAATAAATCTAGAATAAAGTAGAAAACTTATTTCCAAATCTTTCAGAGACACAAAAATTTTACAAAATAGCAATATCTTCATTCATGTTTGGCTTAAGGATTTATTTTCCTTTTATCTTTTGTGATCCCTCCACAATACACTCCCCACCCCCATTAAAAGTGAAGTTTCTCTGCTTCTTATGCACATGGTGACAAGTTTTCATTTTGTGGAAGTTTTAGAATCTGTAGAATATTTTAACCTTCTTAAAGCCAACACACTCACTGCAAAACACTGAAAACCCTTTACTAATCTAAGCACAGAGCCCTCATCACCTCTCTCTCCTCAAGGCTTCACTTAGTTTTCCACTAGGAATCATATTGATCATCAAGTCCCTCTTTAACCTGAGTCACTGTGACTTTCTCCTTCCTTCATTAGATTTTCTCTGCATGTCTGGACACTCATCAACTGCTGAGTTGATGAGTGTCCAGACAACAACTTCAGCTTCAAAGACCAGAAAAAGCATCAAGTCACAGGCTCAACCATTCTGAAAAGGATTTTTGGGAAGAATAATATTATAAAATTGTCTAATGTTCTAATTTGTGTACAAATATATATCATCAAACTTTAGTAGTACTATCTGAAGCACTTAAAATTCAAAAGTACTAGCAATGCCTGCATCTCACTTCTTAAGGGTATCAAATTAAGATGCTATCCCCTAAAAAAGCAAAAAAGAAAGTCATATTTCCTAATTAACTTGTAGTTTGAAACTACTTTATGAGGGCTCAAAACATGTAATTCAAACACCTATTTAAATAAACACAATATTCAAATTGAATCAATAAATCAGAGCTGTTTATAGAAAAACATTGAAGATTCGCCTTTAACAAGTCATATTAATTAAATCAAAAGCTAATGAATAAAAGGCAATCAGGGTGTGATTGCCAGAGGAAGCATTAATTCAGATAAATAACATGGTGAGGAAAGTATGCTCTAACTTGTGTT